TGTCCCCTGCTCCCCTGCATGCTTCAACAATTGATTTCTCTTTGTTGCAGGCGACTGAACCACAATGAGCTGACGGCCATTCCCTCCCTGGGAGCTGCTGCTTCCAGCGTCCGCTTTCTCCACCTGTAAGTCCCTGCTGCCTCTGGCAGATTTGAACGTTTTGGCTGCTTGTGGGGTGGTTTAGCTGCTGCTGACCAAGAGTTTTGGGTGTGTCATACCCACTTCTGCTCACTCTTCAGATTTTGCTAATTAAGAAACATCTTGTGGAGTCATGTGATTTGAGTCAGACTGGGCTCATTTTATGTTGTGCTTATGGTCAGTGGTAACTTAAGTCAGTAAACTCAACAGGTTAGTTGCATATTGGGTAAAATTACTTTTTCCTTATCTGTCTTTGGATTTCAACTATTTTGTCATACTTGGACTATTAAATGAGTATATAATTTTACCTTTTCTATTGCTATTTTTTTCTCCTAGCCTTGTTTTGGTCATTTCTTCTTCTCCTCTCTTAAAGCCAGAAAATATTCACATTTTAATCATTCAGAGAACTCACTCTAGACTCCTTTTTATGGTCTCTTTCAACTTTTTTCTTGAGAGAGTGATTGGTGATTGTAGGGCTAGATCTGCAGAAGCTTTAAGCTTCCTAACTTTGGTAGTTTAGGTGCCTGCAAAAGTGTTGGACACCTGAGAGACCTTGCATCAGCCACTGAGGATCTCAGGTTAAGGATGCTGCTGAAGGGGAGTAAAAGCATTATAATATCAAACTTCTCAGTACCTTAAGAATATGGATTTCTAAAATTACTTTTGCATGTGTCTGCTTGTAATGCACACGGAGAGGGAATTTTGCTGAGGTATGCATGATACCTCCCAGGTTCCTGGAAAGGGGAAGTGGTTACGGCTAATAGGGACTCCAGCAAAGTGCTCGAGCAGATCAAGCAATGCCTTCCAGCACGTGTGGCCTTGGGGCATACACCCGCAGGCAGGTGTCCCTATTTGTCATGGATTTTCTTCTCCGTGTAGTGCAAGATGCCTGTGTCCGTATCACCAGGTTAATTGCCCTCTTGTGCTCAAAAGGTTCTGACTTACTGTGAGACAACCTTGATCTATTGACTGAAAGTACATTCCTATTACTTAAATCAAGGGCAAAACTGAGTGAAATGAACTGGCACTGTTCCTGCTCTTCCATTAGACGGTGTTAAAATATGCAAAGCAGAACTACTCCCTCATTGTCTTAATTCAGTTTAGGGATCTTAGCTTCAAACTGATACCCGTATCTTACTCCTGGCGTGAAGTGAGTTCAGTTTTTTGTTTGAGATATGGTGCCTTTGATCTGGTGCTTGGGTACGCTGTGTTCCTGCAGAGCTTACGAAGGGCCAGAGTGCTCCTCTGCTGTCATCAGTGCTGGACCCGGCAAGTGTCTCTGTCAAATGCACAAGTACCCACTTCACCTCCTGGGTGGAGGAGGTGATTTGTGTCTCGGCAGTTATCAGACCTGTCAAACGTGTCGCATGCGACTGGTGTGAAACCAGCTTGTTTGATTTCTGCCTCCTGCTTCAGCCTCTCCCTGCTTGCGTGACCGCACGGGAAGCCTGGATGTGTGATGCAAGGGCTGCGGAGCGGGGCGGGAACTCCCTCCAAGCAGGATCCCTTGTTCGAGGCACGATCCCCTGACATGAGAGGCCATCTGCCTGCCACTTGAACCCAGCTTACCAGGCTGCTGCATAACCCAGCGTGTTTTGCATTGGGATTCAAAAAGAAACCCCTCCAGAAATTCTGATTTATTGGTGGAAAGCTTGCATACAATTTACCATCCAGGATATAGTTTTAGGCCCCCCAAATCGACTTTTCTTTCACATGAAGTCTATAAATGATCCGAGTTTCACAAGCCCCTGTTATTTTTGCTATTAATTTAGCTGTTGGCAAAGGACCAAATTGCTGGAGCTTTGTTGTTGTTTTTTTTTAATTCCTGAAATGAAATAAGCAGTTTGGAAAGGAGGAATAATGACTGGTGGAAGGCAGTAGATTTACAGCTCCTCTGAAATTTCAGAGTGATGCAGAAGGAAGGGGAAGCCAAATGATAAAAGGACGATATTCTAAACAGACCTGCTTAGTATCACTTTCCAGAAATCTGTATTGCTTTCCTCAGCTGCTACACATAAATAACTCTGATAGTGGGATTTGTAATGCTGCTGTCATACCTCTGTAAGAAGGATCTCTTTGTTTAGCCTGTTTCAGAGAATGCCACTTTTTTTCCCCTTTGCATTTCCTTTTTATTTTTATCAGAAGTAAAAATCTGAAAGATGTTTTGAAGTACCTACTTTAATCAATACTGCTGACTAGCTCACACTGGAATGGTTTGCTGAGGAAGTGCAGCTTTCTCCATCCTTGGGAGTCTTTAAGTCAGTTGGATGACTTCCTAAAAAATGGTCCTTTAGTTCAACTCTGGGTTAATGGGCTTGATACGCAAATTGTTGAGTAAAGTTGTTTGGCCTTATGCGATGTAAGGAATCAGATTATATGGTCATACTGGTTTCTTCTGGCCTTCAAATCTGTGAAGTAACAACAGGGGAGGCTGCCAAACCAAACCCAGGGCGAAGACTCCTAATGAAGGTTGTGTGCTGACAAACTGCTTTATGTTTAAGTATATAGTGTTACAGTGTATTCTTACTGCTAAAGAAAAATAAATACTTTTTTTTTCCAGTGTTTAGAAATGGATGAAGTGTGTTTACCTCACAAACCTCTGAAGTAGGCTTTGTATATTGCATGTGGTTAAGTATTTCCAAATGGCTGTGAATGTATTATAACAGCAAGGGTTGTGTATTTGTCAATTAAAATAGCCTATTTGAATGAGTTACTTCGCCTCCTGTTCTTCCTGAAGTGGGGAAGAGACTTTTTCTCTTTTTGGTGCTTGAGGAAAGAAATCTGCCGTATTGCCAAACTCTTAATTTTCCATAAGGGTGTTATTTTTAAATGAGTTTGATCACTTTGCATTTCTTGGTTTTGGGTTTCTCCGACCACCACCCAAAATTTGCTTGGCCACACATATGTGTGGACCATGGGCCAGTTATGTATATACGTAGGTATGTGGGAATCTGTTGGAGAGAGAATTCTCAAGGCTTTCTGCAAATCTTCAGATGTTTCAGGCTGCAGATGGGTGCAGCCATAACATGTATTGAACATGTTATTCCCTAATATGCTGCCATGAAGTTTAGTTCAGTTTAATTATTCCTTGAAGAGACTGTTTTTTGCTTTGCACATTGAAAATACTGCCAGAGTTATTCATCTCAACAAGAGCAACCATAAGGGGCTTGATAAGGCTTTTAATAGAACAGAAGGGAAAAATAATCTTATGTATGGGTTACCAAATAAAGACAGACATTAAATGCAAACATCTGTTAGGGCAAACAAAAGCCAGGAAATTCAGCTGGGAGGGAGGGAGACTGAATCTGGATTCATTCCGAAATTACATTGGAGTAGCTGAGAGGAGACTCTTGCTTGAAATTCCCACAGCATTTGTAATTTAGCTACAGTTCCTAGACTTGGATGTTTGGGAGTTGATGGCAGGATGTTTTCACTGACATGCACTTGGCTGAGGATTTCCCTTCCCAAGGTTCTGCTGCAACTCAAGTGTGTTAACTCTGTAGGCTCTCAGGCAGACTCTGTTACCTGATCTGGTGGGAAAGGGAAGGGTAGAATAAACCGTGCAGCAGAGCTGGATCTGTTTAGATCCACCTTTCTCCCTAACTTAGGTGGAGAGTCTCTCAGCCTTGCTAGCTTGCCAGGAAAGAGGGAGGACCTGAGCTGCGATCCGCTCCGCATTAGTGTGTTACTACAGGTTTCTCACAAACCCATGTGCAGGTGTGAGCTCAGGCAGCACTCTAGGGCTTCTCTGCCACTGCTTCCTCTACCCACGGGTGGGTGAAGGGATGTCTGCACAGGGTGATGGAGCTGGATCCTTGTCCTCTGCCTTGGATCCGAGATGACCAGCCCGGTACCATCGGCATCTCCCGATGCAGGCGTGCCCGCACCGGCTGCTGCGTGGCTGTTGGCTCAGTGGAGAGCCTGCTGGCCAGACCTCTGAAGGGAGCATGCTCTGCACCACATCCTTAGCTGGCTAAGGAAATAAAGAAGTTAACAGATTAAATGCTTAAAAATAACTTTTGTTTCTTTCGCTCTTAAGTCCTTTAAGCCCCCAACCATTTACGAACAAAGGGAATAGTGACCCGTGGGAGTCAGCTGTACCTTAGCAACAGCCAAAGCTGTTTGAGGTGCTTTGGCCCCACGATCTTGCTCTGAATAAGCACCGATAACAAGGAAGTCAGAATGGGGATTTTTGGAGCAAAAGAGTGTGAAATAGGATTAGCTGATTCACAGAGGATGCAATGACACTCAGCAGCATGTTTACCGGGGAAGGCGAAATCAATAGGACTACTCTGCTGCCAAACTGAGCATAAAAGTCTCTTGAAGAAAATCAATCTTCTTTACAGACTCATTAATGTAAAGATCAATTCACATTAAACTGTAATTAAACAGAGAGGGCTAATAGGGGGAGGGTAAGTGATCTGCTGTGCCACAGGCAAAATACATTATGTAAAATTTGGAAACTAAGTAGGTGGCGAGTTGGAAGCTGGGAGCAGCAGGGAACGTGCTAGGTCTGCTCGAAAGGTGTGGTGAGCTCAGGTGCTGATTGGAGCAGCATCGTCTTCATGAAAAGGAGGTTACTCTGTGATGTTCCATCCAGATGTTGGGATTAAGATAGGTCAAAAATGCAGCCAGTAATTTCTGCATCAGGAATAATTTTTCCATTTGAATTGCATGATTTCTTGGAGAGCTTTTCCTCCAATTGTTGGAAATTTTGTTATAATTTTGGTTGAATTAGTCACATTGTTAATAGTGTGACCCGTGTTTCTTGTCTAACTTCTGCTTTAATTTTCATTGTATCTCATTAGAAGTTCCTGCTGGATGAGAGTTGACTGGGCTTGGGAGATCCCTAACATGGCAGAATGGGGATCATACTATCGATCCTCCTCCTGGCTGTTGCCTCATGCTTTCTTAATGAAGGCTTGGGAAAGTAACTTATTTTAGTACCATTTGTGCTGCTTCCTTGATGTTGTCAAATGGGCTTCAC